AACGATCGATAGATTAGCCATCAATAGCCTTGAGAATTTAATAACCGTTTAGTTGTAAATTTAAACGAAAAGTGTTTAGTGTAACGAAGAGATAAATATAACGTGAAGAGTTGTAAACGTCGAATATTTTAACTAGATGACTTCCTGGAAGTCTACTAAAAAAATAGACGAACTGTGGTTAATCTTATTGGCAGTTTACAAAAACACCACGACGTACTTTATAGTAATGTGGGATAAAAAGAATCTGAACTACAATTTCTAGTTAAGTATGAGTAATAACATTAAGACTGTAAGATTATAATACGATTTGTCAGATTATAAAGCCCAAAATGATAGTGTCTAGTTCTTAGCGCTAATTAATGAGTTCTATTAATTATCGATCTGTTTCGTGGTTATTATTTCGTTCACACATTATTCAGTGACAATTTACACTAAACTCAAAGACAAATGTATGGACATTACAGCACCATTACTTTATTAATGAACAGATCAACCTTATTTATTACATGTTAGCAAATGAAGCTCACACAAAGATTCTTTAGACAAATCCCAACTGTTCAATGATGGGAAGTGATGTAGTGTAAGCAATACAAATTGAAAATTTCTACAAATCCCTCATATTAATAACAGTAATGTGCTCACTAGTTTCTAATTTCGAGAGGTAATTTCATGAGTTCTAGTGAGAATCCGTGACCAGTGGCCATCAACCGTGTTGAATTTGGGGCAATTACTCACTAATGTCATTGGAAGGTGGTTGTGTAATATCCCGAACTGGTTAAAGACAAAATGCAAATTACAGGATGCCGATCCAGTGGCATTAAGCGTTAAGCACTTGCCGCTAGACCTGAGGTCTGGGTTTGATCACCGATATATCATGGATACGCACTACGGAGGAGTTCCACACTAGTTGTCCAGTGGTTCCTGACTTTCAATAGTTATTTAACTAAGGTCGGTAAGTTGTATAAAATATATGATGGCTATTGACTCAAAATTATGGTGAAATTTATTCCTGCTGTTAAAATTAGTAACTAGAAACTTATGATAATTATAACCCTTTCGGTTATTCTTATTGTTTAGGTTTACTAAACTCCTAATGTTCTAACTCTGATAGAAAAAAATTTACGTCCAACTGTTACACAGATACTCCAATATATCGTAAGGAAAAATTTGCTTATAAGACCAAACACTAATGAACTTTAGACTATTCAAGAATTCATTCCATCCATCTAACAATGTGAATAGGTGTACCTGTTATATTAACGAATAAGCAAATATTGTTGTTATTAAATCATAAATGCTTCTTTTCAACTTAATCCAGAGGGGTAATTATCAGGATCCTTTTCAAAAGTCAAATGATACTTTTAAACCAATAGAACGATCATTATACAGAACATTTTTTTTAACAAACTATGTTAGACGAAGATTAGTGAGTTCAAAAAAAGAGAATATAAAAAAATGACACAATATTCCTTGTTCCCATGTTAAATAATATAACATAAATTTAAATACGGTCATCATGCACTAATTCACCAAAAGAAAACATCTTAGTTATTCAATGACGTTAAAAGTGCACAGAATGGGATTATTGATTTTCAAAAAAAAGCAACAAAAAAAAACAGAAAACCTTTTGGTGCATATTTATTAGTGAATTGACAAAAAGTCACAGTGATTTTTGAACCTGCTTGATATCACGAGTCTAAATTAATAATTTCTTTATAATAACTGTCCCACATCATCATTTCATATGATATTTCACCTAGGATTGGATACAAGTCTTTATGTGGAAAGATACCAACAATGATATTGATTTCAATTAAATCCGTAGATATTTAGAATCTCATCGAAAATGCCTTCTAATAATAAGAATTTTAATGAACAGATAGATAACTGTTAAAACTACAAAACTTAATTGATTATTGACTAATTTCAGTCAGTCAGTCAATCACGACGTACAACCTGTGTGTATGAACATCTATCCAATTCGAGGTGCCATAACTCATTAGCAAATTGAGATGAAGCTGTCAGGTCAAATCCCAGAATAGTAGAGGTAGTAACAGTATCAGTAGCAATAGGAAAGATTAAGCGTCAAAGATACGATTCGAGAAAACATAAATTAGTAAAAAATTTTTAAGAAGACAAGAAGTAATAGGCAATTCAGAAGTTCAGAATTTGGGAGGGGGACAAAGAATGGATGCACCTGGGTCATTTCAAACGATTTTGAGTCATCTCATTAAAAGTCTGTAATTGTTGGTTACGATAATCACTCGGATTCCAACCCAATGGTCTAAACTTGTTAACACGGCTCAGACCAACTGCCACTGACTTCATGGACTGATTTTAAGTTTTGGTTTTGTCGCCCCTAGCCTGCTCCTACACCAAATAACATAACATAATAAGGAGAATCAAACTTATATTAGACAGATGATAACACAATGTATTTGAAAACAAGCTGAAAAACGAGTACTGCATTGTTAATTTTATAACGGGACGAGTATTGGAAAAGTTGAACATTTGGAACTATCCTACTTGAAGTTGTTATTTATATTTTCCTATTTGTAAGTTTTTTCATGGTAAATAAACTGTTCTTGTGTGTTGTACTATTTTTAGGTTACTGTTAATTTATTACAGATTTATTAATCGTTATTCTCCCACCTATGGAGCAGTTATGCCAATATTGCAATTTCTTGATTATGTTGATCTGTGGTCAATATTTTACTCTATTTTATTGTATGAGTTTTCAGTCATGACTGAATTCAGAATATAATAGAATCTGGCTGCTGACTTTTCTATCAAGGTAAGAGATAGAGGAGAACTTAAGGACAACAGACCAATGAAAGCTTAAATTGCATCTTCCCAAGGTTAGCGGTGAAGGTCAGGTGAGTAACTGATCACGCCTAGGACACTAGGCTACAGAAAAAATAATAAACGCAGAATATAAATTAGTTAGAGCTCTAATAGGTGACTTTAACACAAGATACCAATCAATTTCAAGCCGTAACAGTTCATGAAGTAATTAACCATTAAAATAAACCATGCTGATAGGTGCAGACTACATGGATAGAGTCCAGTCGATAATCGTGATTAGTGATTGAAAAAATTGGGCAATATGGATCACGATCCGTGACAATGGTGCGAATCCAATCATTCTTCATCTTCTACCAACTCTCGAGTTTTAAGATTATCTCGCACTTTTAGTCCACGAAATCACCTTTTTTGATTCTATTCTTTAATGTTTAGTATTTCTCACTATCATTGATATAACTATCATTCCAACTCTTTTACTTCCCATCTCGTTATCCTGATATGGTATCCCAACTTCAGTCGACAAATTTTATCGAGGCTCTCTATATTAATTTTGATTTGTTGACTGACCAGTTATTCAACTACAGAGATATTAACTCTCTACTTTCGAAGATGGAGATAGAGTTAATGCTAAGAAGTTGATCAGAAGATTAAAGAACCGAGAATGAATGTTTTTAACTATTTCCCTTGATATCATAAAATATCTTATGCTATAGTGTGCACAAAAATCATCAGAGTACACAAGTCTATCAGTGTCAAATGCTTGAAGACTATTGTAGAGTTTGAACGTCAACAAGTTCCTTGAAACTAAATCTTTCTCAGTCAGTCAGTCAGTAACAACGTAGAACTTCGTACGTATGTACATCAGTTCGAGTTGCCACACCACATTAGCACAGAGATGCAGTTGTCAATTCAAATCCCGTAGTGGTAGAGGTAGTAAAAGTATAAGCAGTAATCAGAAACACTAGGGTTTGAAGATGTTATTCAAGGAGTATAATCCAGTGAAATAAATTTGGGAAGAGAAAAAAGAGACAAGGAGGAATAAGGAGATCAAAATTTGGGAGAACAGAAAGAGTGTATGCACCTGAGCCATTGCAAACGATTTTAAGCCATGTCATTCAGGGTCTCTAACCATCGGTTTCTATCGTCTCGCGATCCCCAACCAGGTAGTCTACACCTACCGACATGACTCAGTCCACTTGTCAGTGACTTCATGGACTTGTGCTGTTTTGGTCTGGCCGCCCCTAGCTTTCTTCCAACCTACTCCTATACCAGTGAACATAGCACGTCGAGGCAGTCGGTGGTTGGGCATACGTAACACGTGTCCCAGCCATCTCAACAGATGAAGTTTCACGACTTCATCGATTGATTTTCCATCCTTACCTAGTACCCGTTTCCTAACAACTGCGTTACTTACTCGATAATCACAGGATATACGAGCAATATTTAGTTGTACCGTAGAAATTCATTGTAGACGTCAAGTAAACTAACGGATGGTATTTAACCATTTATTCAGACGGTTTCAAACTTTCCGTAATCTTTCACAACATTTCCTAGCCTTACTGATCTTTAATTTAGATGATAACGTCCTAAGGACACCTTTAATTTTAGTGAGCTGTAGTAGTAGTCTACTTCTCTTGAGAAAGACTGACTGTAAATCTATGGACGATAAGTTAAACTGTTTGAAAACATGAAGTATCATAAAACCACTTAACCAACTATTACTAACCATAAGTATGAAATCAACTTTAATTAAATTCATTATGAAATAGTTTCTTTTCAAAAAGAAGATACTCAGTGTCGGTGGTGACGTCCATAGTTGAGTCAATTGGAAATAGTTGGGAAATTCATACCAACGAATAATTTCTACAATTGCTGATGAATTATGGCAAACATTATACCTTGTCCAACCAAAACCTAAGAGATATTGTTCAATTCGACTTGCCCCATCAAAACACTACAGTTCCCCTTTACCTATATACAGATCAGAATTAACAACTTTTAATCGACACTGAAGAGAACTAGCCCATCTGACCTACCGATATCAAAAGATTCACAGTTTTAGATCATTTCTGAACCAGAAATATCCGTCATATTCAGTGAAAATGTAATTAGAACAATAAGGTTTGGCGAAAGTTCTTGCATAATGGAAACTACTATTTAGTAAGAGAATAAATCGATTTTTATAGATGCTGTCCCAATAGTCAATATAATCAACCCTATTTTCTGATGCTAGAATTTGATACCTGAATTGAAGAAATGATTTATTTGTAGCATCAAGCTAATGAAAATAGATTTTCCTTTACGTAATAGTGCAATGTTCAAATATTCGACTTAACATTCAGGTCTTAAATGATTGGAGGATGAGTGAACTACAAGCTAATTTCCTCCAGTCGCCTTTTGACTTTTATCATGTCCATTTTGTGTTCCGATTCTGTATATAAGCATGTTATTGTATTACAAAATTTACCAATTCTTCTGACTTAGTGGTCTTGTCCTTGATTTATAATCATTCGAGAGCTTAAGTCAATAATACAGTCTCGTGAGAAGCCATCGTCTGGATACATCATAACAGTGTGTTCGTCTATCGATAAAGTCTACCCACTGATTCTGACACTTAGCGCTGGTTAGTGTATCATGAACTTTGAGGGTAAAGTTAGCAAGATTATGTAACCTAAAGGTTTAATTGTTACATCTAAATTAAATCCGGTGAAAAATATAAATAAAATCTTCACTGTACCCTTTGTAACGAATTTCATGATTATAGAAAATTAGTTTTTGAAATATCGAAGAAATTCAAGACTTACTCCTTGTTCACTATCACCGAATTGAATTCCAAGAGTGTTCATTGCTCTGAGAATTGCAACCATCGATTGAATGGTATTACTATAAACCACCGGTTTATACTGTTTATTATCTTCTTGTGTAAATCCACCTTCATGAATAATTCTAAAGTGAAAAAACAGTAATTGAGATGACTTGAGAAATTAACGAATAAGTTTATTTTTTCGACAAATAATCCACATAGTGAGAGATAAGACAGTCAGTCATAATCAACGTCTGGTATTAATACGTGTTGGCACAAGTTATCATACTACATTAGCATGACAAAATCAACGGTAAACAAACTAACGGCCAAAGCTTAGTAATCACATTTGTGTTTGTGTACAGTGTTATGATCCACACCGAATACATAGAATCAAGTGACACAAGAGAGGTTATCAGATTTGTGATCCATCTAGCGTGTCAACACCAAAGGCGACGTACCAAATTAGCAGAACGAGATGAATAGTATAACAGTGGGAATGACAGTAATATCAATTATCATCGACAGGACCCTATCCAACCTACCAACACGGCTCAGTCCATACATATTTACGGTAGTTCAATAATTGTATGGTCGTTTGGTACATTGGTAACGTTACCCCAAAGAAGGATAGATGAAATATGTATGCATTAGATAAATATCAATGTTAATACATGAATGTTTAAGACTAGTGTTTTGCCTACACCAATTCACGGTTGGCTATTTATCTTGAAAAGGATAAAGATAAGTCTCTTATTAGCATTTCACAAAATTCATCTGGAAACTAGTCACTAGTTGCTTTATTTCAATCCATGATGGACAAAAATTATTCCTAGTACTAAAAATTAGCAAGTTTTAGGAATATGGGAGGCCAATCAACCTAGCAAATTTAAAATGGAGTGAGATTTCGAGCCAACTTGATTTTTCAATGGTTCTTCTAACTGTGATACCACAGTTTGCGTTAAAAGAATCATCTACACAATTAATTATTTAAAAAAAATTGTTCTAATAAAGCATATGATGTAATAAGCTGAAATCCCCTTGTAACATTGATTGAAAATAATATTTTAGTCATACAAAAAACGCCAACTGATCTACAATTTCCACAAAAAACCTTCACTGACCATAATCATGTTCTCATTAGTGACTAGTTTCGAGATACCATTCCCAGAGTTCTAATAAGAAGGCGTGACCAATGGAGTTCAACCATATCGGGTGTGAAACAGATGGCAATGGAAAATGGTAAGACATTAACACTGTTACATCCCGGTTCACTGGTCTAGAGGTTAAGCATTTGTGTATGGGTCCGAATGTCCTTGGATCAATTTCCTGTGCTGAGGGTCGCGCATCCACACTATTGAGGAGTTCTATGCTAGGATGAAAAAAAACTGTTCAGTGCTCCCTAATTGTTATTAATGCTCCAGTTAAGATCATTTCGTCATTTAAACTATAAAATAACCTATCATGATTAAATTAAGTGTTCTCTCGTAATAAAAATGAACTACAGTTTACCAATTAATCAGTTAATTGATTTCTAATCAACGAATTTATGGACAATTACATTTGATAAATCCTTATGTAATAAATTTATTTAGTTTCTAACTATACAGGAAGTCAAATATTATGTTTCTGTAATAAAGATAGTTCAACAGGAAAGATTTACAAAAACATTAGAAATAATACCAATCATAATAAAAATAATAATTCTCATCAATGGTAAATTACAATACACTTGATTTTCCACTCTGTTAAGTGATTTTTTTCAACAGTCAGTACGATAACATAATAAACAGATTTAGATTTAATAGTTGAATTCATGAGTCAGTTAAAGCTGGAGCATCATAGAAAATCTGGAAGCACTGGACAGCCATTTCGTTCTAGTATGGGACTCCTCAACAGTGCGCATCCACCATCCTGTCCTCGGGATTCGAACCCAGAACCTATAGGTCTCGCACAAGAACGCTTAGCCTTTAAACCACTGCTCACTAGTGACTGGCTTCAAGAGGTATTTCCTGGAGTTCTAGTGAGAGGCCGTGACCAGTGGAGTTCAACCAGGTCTGTTGTGAGACAGTAACTCACTGGAGACAATGGTGGATGGTGGTGCAATTTCATGGATTAGTTGAGGTTATATTTTAAAACCATTGGATGCCGACTCAGTGGTCTACAGGCTAAGCGTTCGCGCGCGAGATCAATAGGTCCTAGATCCAAATCCCGAGGGTGGGATCGTGGATGAGCACTGTTGAGGAGTCCCATGCTAGGACGAAATGGCCGTCCAGTGCTTCTAGGTTTTCCATGGTGGTCAAGCTTTAATTAACTCATAAATTCAACTATTAAATTACTAAAATCTCCACAAAAACACCCCTTCTGAAACTTTAGATTTACTTAACTCCGACAAACTATTATACTACAGATAATTAGGAAATATAATTTGCATTGATAAGGTTAGAACTCAACTATGAAATAACTGATCAAAATATTTTACCGACTAAAACCACGTTTATTTGTTAATTTTTAATATTTGAAGAGCATTTAAATGAGAAAGATAATATGCTCGAATGAGAAGATTTCAACATCACGGTACACATTCACAATGTGAAATCCGATATATGGTAATAGACGATCGCTTCCAACGATATCATTTGAACAGGATATCACATTTTGAAATTACTCTAAGTGACCAGATAAGCTGAAACAGTTATTACTCAAAACTAAAGTGAACCGTGTGGCATTTACTGACATCGAATGTTTAGCTCTTCAGGGACCAAAGTTCAATGAAACATCAAATACAACAGCAAAAAGGTTTTCAATGACGTGGTTGCAAAAATATATTCGGTTATATGAAAAGTTGGTTTTCATATATTGGTGGATACGATAAGTAAACTCATTCAATTGAAATCAAAATATGACCTGGTATATAAATGTGTCGATCCAAGTTGCCACATAATATGACCACAGTGAGATGAAACTATCAAGACGACATTCCAGGGTAGTAAAATTAGTAACAACATGGGAGTTAATAGAAATTAGGCATAAATAATATGATTCAAGAAGGAAGAATAACTTGTGGAATAGATAAAATATGTAAGATAATTTTAACACTCAAGATCTAAGGCAAAAGAAAGAATGAATGTATTTGCGACATTGAGTACGACTCTGAGCCATGATATTCAATCCCGACCATGACTGCTATCTTGACGTAGTGGTCAGGCTTGCCCATCGTGACGACTCAGTCGTGCTATATTGGCTGGAACATATGTTTCTTTAGGTCCTCCATGTCACACAGGTCTGTTGGAGAACAGTAAGAATAAAAGCAACAACTTAAGGTCCGAGGGCGAAGACGTATTGCTGATTGTAGAGGGGTGTGACAGCAGTAAAGTGTTTCCTTCGGACAACCAGCATCTGCAGAAATGCTGCCTCTTCATAACGGAAGTAAGGGGTTAGAGAAGGTCGACCCTAAAGTGCCACACCACCCCTTACCCCACGGATTTTCATTTCAGGTGGTAAGACCTTTTAAAACGCAGAGCTAACACATCAAGAACTTCGTATAAAATGGCAGTGCGCGACCTGCCTCCAAAAGTTATTCCTTGAGCACTGCAGTCGCGCTCCCAGGTCGCTAAGACCACTATTAGTTCAGTTTCTTTTTCAAGTTCATCAAGAAGAAATATCCTTCCACAGCGTGGGCAGCTGGGAAGTGACAACTGCCCCTATACCTCTATCAGCACCCAAGATCATCTTGTTGATGATGAGATCCCTCCTTCACTTAATAGTTATCTGACCCCTATGAATAAACGTCTTTATCACCACATGCCAGTAATTCTAATAAGTTGAGTTCACAAAATGTTATTCATGGTCTCCTAAAATCACGCTCTAAACTGTATGTTGGAGATTGTAATGTTTGAACCTTCTGTCAGATAGGACAACAGGCTTCTTTAGCTGAAATTCTATGATCTTGCGCCACCAATGTATGTTACGTCTCCGAAAAGAGCATACAGGATCCAAGTACGATCATTCACTTGATTTCACCGTGACAATATAAAGCACCATTTAAGTATCTGGAGACCTCACTGCTAATTCCCGTGACCTCACAAGTGCAGCTATAGCATTAAGTTCTAAAGCAAAACAGGCTTTACTAGACTTGATTCCAATAGACAGCCGCTTGTGCATTGTTCGACTAAACGAGACAGTAAGAACACAAATCGTTGCCTTTTTATTGTCTCCGTCTACGCTCCCGCTGATTGCAACTCAGATGAAGTAAAAGATGAATTTTACAGGAAGCTATCCAACCTACTTCAAAAAACTAAACGGTCGGCTGAAGAAATGGTTACAGGTGATTTTTATGTCCAAGTAGGTAAGTTAAGCTAAACCGAAAGGCTCAGAATTTGGGGAAGACAAAGAATGAATGCATCTGGACCATCTCATTAAAAGTCTGTAACTATTGGTTACGATAATCATGCGGACTCTAACCAGATAGTCTACACGTTAACATGGCTCAGTCCACTTGTCACTGATTTCATCGACTGATATCATGTTTTGGTATGATCACCCCCATTTTTCTTCCAGCCTGATTCTGCACCATAAAACATCGCGCGTTGAGGTAGGTGGTGGTCGGGCATACTTAACGCATATTCCAACCTCCTCAATTGATGAACATTAACTACTACTTCATCAATCGATTTCCCATCTTTGCCTAATACTCTGTCCCTAACGTCCTCATTCCACACTTAGTTGTCTCAGAATATACGAGAAATGCTTCGTAGACACCTATGATTGAATACCAGAAACCTACCAATATCCTCTACTCTTGATGGCCATGTTTCACAACTTTAAAGTAGAATGGAGAAAACAGCTGCGCAGTAAACTCGCCCTTTGATTGAAGGACGGATATCTCGACTACAACACAAGTGACGCAGGTTAGCAAAGGCTAATCAAGCATTTCGAATCCATGCAGAGATTTTATCAGACACCAGATAGTCAGTACTGATTAGGCTACTAACATAAGTGAAGCGATTGATGAGTTCAACTACTTCAGTCTCTACCACTAATTCAGGAGATAACGCAAACCAATCCTGAAGTAATATTTTACATTTGGAGGGAGAAGACCTCTTCCCAAACATGCTTGCGGTTTTGCTTAGGGGACCAGAAGACTGCATTTTGTCGGCGTCTTCGGCAGACAGAACTGTCATCCGAGCATCCTAAGTCAATAAGTGAATCTCTTCGAAAGAGACCAATTCCTAAAAAATCAGACTATCAGAGAGTTATGTCCAAAACGATGTTTATGACGAAGTTAAATAAAAATACAAAGTGGACAGCCGTGACAATCACATCTTTATGTTATCTATTCCGAAGACAGCCGTTCACTATAGGCCCTAATTCGACCTGTACAAGGTTGATATAGTGAATTATAAACTATTTAGGAAGGTAATAAGTAACCACGTTAACAAAGTTGCACGTTAGAACAATTTACAGACAAGGATTACTACAATAGTTCAACACTGAAACATTCCTTTATTCTTGATAACACCTAATCGTTCAAATCAATACTCTGTCTTGCTTTTTTACAAATTATTATACAAATAATCAATAGTGTTTCCTCATATTTATTGAGTCTAATTATTATTCGACGCCAACTACTTTTCATCTGAATTTTCATGATTATCACCCTTCTGTTGACAGGACACATATTATATTAAGGAATGTTCAATGTAAGACTGTGATAGAGCACGTTGACTGGTCCATTCTTAGTCAGTCAGTTCAGGAGGATAATTGGAGAAGACCTTATAATCTACCTGTGTAAAGTTAGAAATATACTAACGTTTTTCTTATTGTAATTCAATCCCATTCAACTAGATTGATTTAGGATATAATTACGAACTTGTCAAAGCTGTGTTCTGATCTGGGTCCGAAGAATACTGAGCAATAAGGATATCAGGGTTGGATAACGAAAGACTTAACACAGTCCTAAACCAATGGTAATTCATAATAATTAGTAATAATAATAATGTCACAATGATGACTATTACTGTTTGCTGTTAAAAAAATAAAGACAATTTAAACACGAACCAGGACTGTATAGTGAAAAATACTAATCAACAATGACTGTTTCTCATATCAACAATAGGATGTTCAAATGTCATATGAACAATCGTCATCAAATGACTAATTTCCACTAAAAAAAGCACAATACACGGCAAACTTATAATCAATCCATGATGGATGTTCCAATATAACTAGTCTTTTATAGTATCCATAGTCTAAACAATAAACAAATACATGAATTTCTTAAAGACATCTTTATTTCCCATTTTAGACCAGTTCTTCAACTGCAATATACACACACAGACAATCGGTAGTATTGATAATTTCTACCCAACACTTTATATTTCATAATCACCAATCTGGAATCCTTATTCCGAATAACATAGAAATATACAGAGACATTTAGGTTAAGTCAGTTCCATTACAGATTGACACTAATTATTACAATTTTAGTATATAATCTACAAAAAGAAACTAGATTAAAGATCATTGTTACTAAAGATTACTGAGGAAAACTATGCAATAAAACTTAAATAGACTTAATGATGGTCCCGATATTTGAAGATATTTTACCATGATCATAATGATTCACAAAGAAAATATATTTTATTGTATATCTTGCTAAAGCCCATGATTGTTTAATGTAGACGTATAGTCTAGATATACATTAGCTATCTACTTATAGTATCATGTTTATTTGTTGATCAACATCTTAATACATTTTATTACAAAGATTGAAAAATGAAACTGTTGAAATGACTTAGCTTACTTCATTTGTTTGACGATTGTGCTCTTTCCTGATTCACCGGCACCTAAAATGTATATGTTTGGGAGAAAAAAAGAAAGGAGGAATTATGTTTCAATGTAGAAAGTTTGAAAGATAGAAACATAAAAATGTGATTAGTAAGTTGGTGGATGTTTATTTAGAAAATGAAGTACTTGACAGTATTACACTAAGCCTTTCTAGATGAGAATTGGTGGTTTAGTAGGTGAAGCATTCAATTTTAATCATTAAGACTTATGTTTTAATTCGATTCGACTTACTTCGGTTTGAGTACCAAGGCAACAACACATTAGCTTTGATCACAGGATGTTTAGTTAAAAACTGAGTTGTACTTATTTAAGTATACAAAATCTTGTACAACAAGGCACCAAAACATAAAGTGCACCACACAATTTCACTGAATGTAATTATTAGCATATTTTCGTGGGGGCTAGGATACTTCCCGGGCTCATGAGCCGAAGCACGTGCTTTTTAAGGAACCATTCCTGCAGCCTTCAACCAAAGAGTCTGATCTACAAGGCAGTAGTACAGTATGCAGTCGCATAGTACCCAGTGACGGAAATAGGCTCACACACCATTCGTCTCTTTATGTACAGGATGTCACAGGCACAACTGGTTTGGAGTTTTTCAACTTCCCTTGGTAGATACTCCGTTACCACTAACCCGACTAAAGCACCCAGTACATGAGGCTGTAATTAGTAAATGATTTACAAAGTAAAAATAACGAATTGTATTATAATTTGAATGTCATTAATTAACCAAGCAAGGGTTTAGTTAATCTATTTGGACTCTTTTAATGTGCAATAGCTAATGGCAATACTAGTCTGTTCAAAATAACGTAGACAGAACTAAGTTTAAACTTAGAATCTGATTGGTTGTAAGTTAGATGTTGTTATGAACGGGGAATTAAGAAGCCCAGACAATTACGAAAGCTATTTTCTTGGGACGTTATTGCATTTCATTCAAAACCTGTAAAACACTTATATTTATTTTTGTCCCTATCTTATTCTACATAACACGAGCTTTCGTTCTATGTATCATTCACTAGCATACCCTTTTTTGTTCCAAAAATATTGTAATTTAAACATTATATTTTGCACTATAATTTCTACCCTAATTCCCTGTTTCGGGCATAACTGTATTTTTCCAAATTATCCTACGTCGTGGTCAAGATATGCACTTATTTATTCATGTACATTTTTGTAGTAATCCGAATTCAGAGAATCCAGAGTTTAGTGTTCCAACTGTCTTGTCTTCTTTCACTCGCGTGCTTGCCAACCAATCAGGATTTAGAATAGTTCTCTCTACCCCATCTCGAACTCACGCATATTAGACTCAAGGTTAAGCCACTCAGCCTAACGCGTCAAGGTCATAATTTAGACTACACCGACCAAGGTCAAGTCATAACAAGTATCACGGGGTAAAAGCGATTCAAGGTCATAACAACTGGCGACGGAGAATTTTTTTTTCTTTCCTATATTGATTGATCCAGTACAAAATGCCTGTTTCATTGGATGACCTTAAAACTATTCTTCAAATGCAGCAAGCACAAAATGAGGCAAATCAAATGAAGCTTTTGGATGCATTCGCACGAATGTTCTCATTACAGTCGTCCTCAGCTTGTCAATCAGATAAGCATGAAAGCATCATAAATTCTATTTCTGAATTCCAGTATGATCCTGAAGCTAATATCATTTTCAGTTCGTGGTTTCACCGTTGTGAAGATATTTTCCGCGTTGAATGCTCGCATCTTGATGACGCAGCGAAAGTCCGCTTACTCTTAAGAAGACTGGGAACACAGGAATATAATAAATATGTGAATTTTATCTTGCCGCAAAATCCACGAGATGTATCATTCAAAGATACAGTCCAGATTTTATCTGATATTTTCGATGAACAGTCCTCATTATTTAATACTCGCTATAAATGTTTCCAAATAACAAAATCTCCAGAGGACGATTATCTCACGTATGCCGGGAAGGTAAATCGACAGTGCGAACGCTTCAAAATAAACGAAATCACAGCGGACCAATTTAAATGCTTGATTTTCATATGTGGTCTAAAGAATGAAGAAGATGCAGATGTCCGTACCAGAATGTTGGCACGCATTGAACAAGAACCAAATATGACATTACAAATGGTTACAACCGAATGTCAGCGGTTACTTAATCTCAAGCATGACACTGCGATGGTGCAACAGAAGGTTAAACCTTCCGGTTCTGATTCAATTAATGCGCTCCGATCCATAAAATCATCGAAACAAAACTGTACAAGCAGGAAACAACCTGCCAACCCCCCATCACCATGCTGGTTCTGCGGAGCATGGCATTTTGCAAAATTCTGTCCGTTTAAGAATCATAAATGCCGCAAATGTCATCGCATTGGCCACAAAGAAGGTCATTGTTCGTTAAATAAACGCAAGACTAAACATCGTAGTGAAAATTCAAAGCAACGATCAGACAGTCAAATTAAAACCACGTTTGCAACCTTTAAAGTTGGATTTAAAAGTAGGCGGAAATTCGTAAATTTATTAGTAAATGAAAAACTTATACGACTTCAGTTGGACACTGCTTCTGATGTCACGTTGATTTCAAAGAACACATGGCACAAGTTAGGATGCCCATCCATCCGACCGACGGAACATGTCGCCCGAAATGCGTCAGGAGACATAGTAAAGTTGACAGGAGAGGTCCTATGCAATGTTCAACTTATGGGAAGCAAATTTACAGATGTTTGTTATCTAACAAATCGACACGATTTAGATCTATTGGGATTAGATTGGATTGCACATGTTGATACTTTGAATAAATTATTAGATGAGGTATGTTCTCAAAATGTTTCCTATGATTCTATCCAAATCCCTAATGATATTTCTAAATCAAATGCCTCCGACGAATCATCCTCTCTGGATATTAACGAATTAAATGCTTCTGATGAAACATGTTCTTATGATCTTTCTGAATCAAACAATTCAAATGTTATGTGTTCTCACCATGTCAAATCAAATACCGCCGATTCATTGCCTTCTCATAAAATTTCCAAATCGAATACTTCAGACAAAGTATGCGCTAGTGAAACTTCGGAGTCTCATGTACTTCTTTCAAAGTGTCCACGAAAAGCTGAACTACAATCTTGGCCATCTCCAGAAAACCTTGGTCGCGTATACATGTTGATCTTGCTGGCCCATTCCAGGGTACGTACTTCCTCGTTTGTGTTGATGCTTATTCAAAATGGCCGGAGATTTTTCCTATAAATCAAATCACTTCGCAACAGACTATCATGAAGCTACGGCAGTTATTCTCCCGTTTTGGAGTTCCAGATGTTCTCGTGACAGATAACGGCACTCAGTTTATTTCTTCCATCTTCTCAGATTTCTGCAAGAGGTTTGGAGTCAAACATGTCCGATCACCTCCGTACCATCCACAATCGAATGGTCAGGCCGAAAGGTTTGTAGATACCTTCAAAAGAGCGCTACTGAAGGCAAAAGGGGAGGGAAAGATAGAGGAGATTCTTGATGACTTTCTCTTGGTCTACAGAACAACTCCAAACCCATCAACACCAAATCAAATGTCCCCAGCAGAAATTATGTTTGGTAGAAAAGTAAGAACTGCCCTCGATGCCATGAAACCACAGCAAAGAGACATCGGAAAAAGAAACAGAAAGATGGAAAACCAATTTGATCGCCATCATGGGGCGAAACGCAGAATTTTCCAGAAAAATCAAAAAGTATACGTCCGCGATTTCCGATATTCACCTCCACAATGGACCAGTGGACGCATACTTAAGAGACAAGGGAACGTAATGTATGTGGTGGAAGTTGAAGGACAGAAGTGGACACGCCATGTCAACCACATACTGGAAAATGCTGGCACTTCACAGAAAACCGAGAAATTAGACTCAATGTGGAGAATCATTCTGGACAGTTTTGACATAAAATGCTCAGCGACTCAGAAGACCACGCAACCTGAACAAAGTCCTATTAGGAAAGCATCACGGAAACGCAGAAGACCAGATATTCTACAGGTAGACCCAAAGAGGAGAACATACGTTTCCGAAGGAAGATATCAATGATGATATCTCAGCACTTACCTGTATATAGTAACTAACCATATTTTTTTTCTTTTTTTTTTAAAGGGGGAAGGTGTTATGAACGGGGAATTAAGAAGCCCAGACAATTACGAAAGCTATTTTCTTGGGACGTTATTGCATTTCATTCAAAACCTGTAAAACACTTATATTTATTTTTGTCCCTATCTTATTCTACATAACACGAGCTTTCGTTCTATGTATCATTCACTAGCATACCCTTTTTTGTTCCAAAAATATTGTAATTTAAACATTATATTTTGCACTATATTTTCTACCCTAATTCCCTGTTTCGGGCATAACTGTATTTTTCCAAATTATCCTACGTCGTGGTCAAGATATGCACTTATTTATTCATGTACATTTTTGTAGTAATCCGAATTCAGAGAATCCAGAGTTTAGTGTTCCAACTGTCTTGTCTTCTTTCACTCGCGTGCTTGCCAACCAATCAGGATTTAGAATAGTTCTCTCTACCCCATCTCGAACTCACGCATATTAGACTCAAGGTTAAGCCACTCAGCCTAACGCGTCAAGGTCATAATTTAGACTACACCGACCAAGGTCAAGTCATAACAAGTATCACGGGGTAAAAGCGATTCAAGGTCATAACAGATGTGTTAACCAATTGAGGCACCGCTCCACAAAAGACTTTATAAGATGAACAGTTAACTAAAAATTTGTAAGTATGGACCTCTTCCCTATTTAGATATAAGCTATGAGAAAATACCCAATAATCACTCTTCCACTACATCACGTTTGGTCATCTATAATAAAGAATTGGCTACCACTGTCATCGTACAAGTGACCACCACCATATTAGTGTGTAGATACTAATCAGAATCGAATCAACTGTACTTGATCTGAATAAACGTGCATATTAACTAGATATCATGCGAACCACAGAAGGCATATACTTATTCGTATTGAAACTGATAAACATGA